TTGCAAACTTCATGTTGGATCTTAGTCACCGCTGACCGCGTGAGACTTGCTCTCCGCACCTGTCCGCAGGTGGGAGAAGCACGGGGCACTTGTTCTTCATGTTTGCTACTTTTGTAGTTGAGTTTCCCCTTTCTGAAACTATCATGCGCCACTTTATTTACATAGATGTTGGCTCCTCGAATACGGGAACCTTGTCATGTCTCTCCACAAACCTTGACACCTCGCACTGTGTCTGGTCACGCCGTAGGTGCGCAACAGAAGAAGCCCACTTCAATAATTTGGGAAAGCAAAGGTGCAAGAAGCAACAACTGGCAGAATCACAGCAAAAATAACTTTGGGGTGGGGTGTGGCGAGAGGGAGGTTAAAAGCCAGGTATTTTTGTTAGCTGCTCCACCATTAACCACGTGACCGACATTGTCATTACACCGTCTACAATACATTATGCATTTTACATTATATGCATTAGACGTAGCCACGATGAGCATTTTTCACTCTGTATATCGACTTCTGCTCCTGTGATTTTCAGTAATCTTTACCTGACACCCTGACCCTGGGTCCATCTGACTCAGTCCCCCAAGTAGGTGCGCAATCCCGCTTTCAGTCCCCCTTCGTGGACTGAGGCTGGGAGGAGCGGAGACTACCCCAGGCGAGCCAGGCAGCCTTCCTGTGCCCGGGACGTGTCCGTGGTCAGCGCCAGCCCCACTGGTCCTCACCCACTGCCCGCCAACGGGCGCCTCGGACTGCTGCTTAGGGTCAGTCCTCCACAGTGGGTTATCCTGGGATTCTCCCTATCATGCTGCAAAGTTTTTCTTGGCTTCCAACCATCATGACTTTGGTGATTTTTAGTGTTTGCTTTTTTCCAAAATAGTAACTCTTACTCCTTCTTTTTTTTGTGCACAGGGAGGGAAACTGACTAACTTGAATGCAATTTTTGGACCTGTTATTACTGACGCAAGCACATAAAAACAATTCCTCCTTGACGCTTGCTTGTTTTTAAAATGGAATCATCCACCTTTGCTAGACCTTTCACAACACAACCATGAGGGCGTGTATGTGGTAGTAAGAGAAGCAGATAGGAACCATTGCAGCTAATTTCACAATACAAATTCATGGCCCGAGGCCGTATTTCTGCAATAAATACGGGATGGGTTAGCCGGGATGGCTCCAGGCCTGCGCTCAACATTATCCACAGCCTGTTCCATTCCAGTTCACAGGTTTCATGTTATGCCTGAACTTCCAAGCAGAGGTCACTGGCACCAGGCTTAGGTCCAGCCATCACGTGGCTCATTCAGTGCTGTCAGAAGAGAGGGGTCGGGGTGGGGGAGGGGGGCAAGACTACTGTTCAGGGGGCGCCCGCATGCCTCGAAGTTACAGGTCAGCGGGACTGACCACCGTGTCCGCGGTCATCACGAGTGCCCACCTGCCCAGCTCTCCTGAGCGCCCTGGCCTTCTGCGGAGCCCAGCGAGCTTCTTGCTCCCGCCTGGTCCAAGTTAGACTCCCTCCTCCCTTGAGCCTGCTCTCTCCTGGCCCATCTGACTTCACCACCGGTCAGTTTCTGATTCCCTTCAAAGCAGCATCGAATATTTCTTCATGTGACTATTGAGACCAGTTATTGTGATGATGGATAGTTTTACTAGGTGTGGGGGTGGGGGGTGGGGGGAGAGGGAGAGAGGGAGAAAGAGGGATCCCTGTGTGAGAGAAGCCAGGGACAGCAAAGCTGGAGTGCCCAGAAATATCAAAAAAGCAGAGAACACGCCAGTCCCCCAGAGCTGATCTGGGTCCACTCTACAGTATACAGTGTCACAGGGGGCTCTGGGGAAATTCGGCAGGGAAACGAACAAAGCCATGGCGTTTTGCCTCTCTCCAGTGCTCCAAACCCTCCTGCTGCTCTGTCCGGAGACGCCCTGGAGTTCTGGGGACCACGTCTGGAGTTGGGGTGCCTACCTAGGTGCCTACTGGTCACTCGCTTTCAATAACTCAGCGAGAAGCAAAGGCAAGTTCAGGGGACCATTGGCTGATTTCCATCACTCTGGCCCCTCCACCCCCTGTGTCTGGAGGTGTGCAGTGTGTGTGGGGTGTCAGTGGGAGACTGGACAGCGCCCAGGAGCCAGCCCCACCCCCCAGGCCGGGGTCTCCCTTCCCTGAGCTGTGAATGGAAACAGCTCCTTGTGGGGTGTCAGAATTTTTCTAAACTTTCCATCCCTGTGTGACTTGGGGGGCGATGCCCCTCACCAGAGCACTCGCCCGACCTGCAGCCTTTGTCCCCCCTTTCCTCCCGCCCCCGCCGGAACCGGGAGGTCCCCAGACTGTGGGTTATTTGTGCTGTGCTTTGCGGGTATTTGGACCCCACCAGCGAGCGCGCCCCTCGGTGGCTCTGTGACTTGTTTCTCTTGGTGCTTCGCCTCGAGGCCACCCACGGTGTCCCCAAAGACACGGAGCCGTCAGTCATTTCGAGGGGCCTAGCCGTATCCCGGGGGTGCGCGCGCCGCCGTCCCTCCTCGCCCTGGCGCTGTTGGGGGGCAGCTCCTGTGACCCCGCGGGGCAGCCTCTTCCTGTCGGGGTTTCATGTTCTCGGTGACACACCGCACGTGTCTTGCTGGGTCACATGGAACTTCCGTTTTTATTGACTCGCGTTTTGGGGCGCCATCGCGTCCCCCGCGGCTGCCCGGGCCGCACCCCCGCCGCGCGGCTGGGCGTTCCTGGCCGGCGTCGCCTCGCGTCTCTGACCCGTCCTCGTCCTCGCGGGTGGCTGTGTCGCTCGTGGTCTGGCTTCTCTTCCTGGCGCCTGCACGTGAGAGGGAGGCGTGATCCCGGCCCCCTTGCCGCGGGGGGTCTCGGGGCACCCCCAGGGCGCTGTTCCTGGCCGGGACCTTCTCTGAAGCCATCCCGGCTTCCCTCGCCGTCCTCACCTTGAAACTCTCTTCTCCCTCAGCTCGTCCCCTTTGACCTCATCTCTGTTTAGTTTTGAGGTCAGCGGGGTCCCCCACACGCTTTCCTGGTCCATTTTCGTAGCTGCGACCTCATTTCTAGGTTTCTGCGCTTTTGAAGCTGAAATCCTTGCCTCCACGCTATTCTCTCCTGTCTGTCAACGACACATTCGTGTCCCTGAGATAGTTGCTTTAATGTGTCAAGTGTTTGCTTGCAGTTTTCAAAGCCTTTCAGTCAGAAATGAGGTTAGGCCAAACTTTTTTTTTTTTAAAGATTTATTTGTGCATACAGAACTGGGGTACAGGCCAGAGGCTCAGGGGCGGTGAGAGGCTTCACCAGAGACAGAGTGGAGAACAGAAGAGGCAGATCGACGAATTTCACTGCTGAGGGGAGCAGCGGGCGGGTCAGGAGAGGTCTGCCGCGCCATGTGGTCTCCTCCGGGGCTGGCGGGAATCGAACTCCTGCGGAAGCGGCTTTAGCTTCTCAGTGCTGTGCTTTAACCCGCTGCGCCACCAGGGAGGGCCTAGCCCAAACTTTTCAACCTGTAAGTGATTTTTCACAGCTGCTGCTGGCACCCACCTTCCGGTTTCAATCGGGGTCGTTTCTTGAGCTCCCACTGGTTTTCCTTTGGCTCTTCTGTTTTCGTATTTTCCTTATTCATTGGCCTACTCTTGAATTCACTTGCGCATTCTTACTTTCACTGACATGTTTTTCGTTCCCCATTGCACCTCCCCTCTGTGTCCCGGCTTCAGACCCCGGGTGCAGGATGCAGAAGGCAGGCGAGGCTGCAGTTCAGCCCCCCAAGAACCCAGAAACCAGCCGAGGAGGGGAGTGGAGAGGCGCAATACCTCGCTGGGCCACAGGGGGCGCCGTGGCCGCGCGCCCTGCTGGATGGCTCCAACCTCTGATCCCGAATTTCCGCTGACCAAGCCCTGCTCCTCCGTCTTTCCAATGCCTTGGTGCTTCTCACAGCTCTGCAAACACCTGAACGTACACTGGGCTTTAAGAAGATACGGAAGGACAGTCACCGATAACTTTTTATCACTCCAAAGCTTCGCACACACTTCGCTATATTTTAATTGGCTTGCCTACTAAATGATAAAGAAATCAAGATAGCATGCATGTTAAAACTGCAGAAACCAAATACAGACATCTACAGAGCTCAAACCTGCGTTCCTTTAGCACAGTGACACTTTCAGCTCACGACCTCTCTGCCCCCATAACTGGTTGCAAAGAAATGCCACACTGATGATGTCTTAGCTAGTCCTGGAAAACAGTCCCACTCACGTCAATCAATCTCATTCACATCGAACAGGTCTGTACAGGGGTCACCTTGGGCTGTGGGCATACCCCACCATCTGCCCCAGGTCTGCCCGTGTCGGGAAAGCTTATTTCTGTGCTACATTCTTTTTTCCCAAATCAGTAACGTATGGTGCCTGCTTTCATAGTGTACTGTTGCATTCAAGAACATGCTAAATAAAAAAAACATTAAATGCAAGGAAAAAAGACCATCCGATAGCATGGTTAATTGTGAGGGATCTCAGGCAGGGGCGAGCGGCGTGGGACACAGTCCTTGGGGGACAGCCCCCGAGTGGCCGACTGTCCCTCGTCAGTCATCAACCTCCAGGCAACCAGAAGCCCACAGACCTGGGAAAGGGACCATCCATGCCGGAAGAAGCCACACGCCGCCCCTGAATTCGTCCTCCCCCCTACGAGGCCTTGGGGATTATTCTCCCAAGCCTCCAGCACTTTCCAGACAAGTTGCGGAGGCTCGGCCTGTCCCGCGTGCTGCTGTGCTGGCGGAGTGGCGTGGTGTCTCCCTGCACAGCCAGAGCCCGGAGGAAGTGCGCTCTGGGCTTGCGCTTCACGGCCCAGCAGGGCTTTGCCCGCTCTGGATCAGTGTGGCGGCCGCCAGCTTCATACATCCCGCGAACACCTCCAGCCCCCCTCGAGACTGCACGGGCGCCTCCAGCCCTCTCTGAATGTGATGTTTGCTACCTGCTGTGCACTGATGTCGTCTCAGAGACGTCATTCATTGTTATCTTCTTCTTTATTTATGTTTCCTGTTTAGAAATTGGCCCCTGGTTGCGGGAGTTCAGAGCGAAGGACGCTGTGGATTTCTCGCAGTTAACATTTGACCCAGGACAGAAAGAGCTTATTGTAGGAGCAAGGTGAGAGATCTAATGTTTTGCCACTGCAGATGTGTTCAGACTTTCTTCTGCATCTGTGCGCTTACACGTGTGTCTCTGCCGTGCCTGAGAACGGTGCGTGTCGTCAGGTGACGGCTGGTCGGAGGGTGACGGCTGCTCTCCCAACGGCTGCTCGAGGGCCCCTCCCACCGGCCAGCAGCTGTTCCCGTGTGAGTTCAGCCACTGTGTCCACCCGGTCCTCTGGAAGGCTGCCTGTTGTCCACTGTAAGACAGGAACTGAGGCAGAAGGTGGAGAAACGTGTGGCCCAGAGGTGCACGCCTGTTAAGATGGGCCCAGATGGAGTCAGGCGGTGTGCACACAGCGGCCCGTGTGACACGGGGCCCGCGCTTAGTTTTTCCGTGAAACTGTACAGTCCCGAGGCCGTGCTGTGCCTCCCCAGGCCCGTCGGTACCTTCCTCGGGACCTCGATTGGGTCACGTAGCAGTCAGTTGGGAGCCCGAGGAAGCCGTTCTATGTTCACGTGGGTCTTCCAGTCTGCCGACAGGCCGCAGGGCTGGAGTGACTCTGCTCCCCTCCCTCCCACAGAAATTACCCGTGGTCCCCGCGTTCCAGGCACCAACCTGGGGGCGCGTACGGGATCAGATGGCTCTCTGCATCCATCTCTGAGCAATGACTTTCCATGTGAGAACGGCCGTCTGTAGCGTGGGCTCCGGGCAGCCGGGGGAGAGACAGGAGCGACAGGGCGGGGTGCTCACAGTGCGGGCAGATTTGTGACACTGTGCGGTGGCCTGCAGAGATCCCGCGGGGGCAGCAGGCGCCCGGGTGACGCTGACAAGCGTAGCTGCACCCTCACACACACGGGTGCTCAGCCGGCCCTGGTCCGCTGGGCCCTGGCCCAGGCTCAGAGGGACTTGGAAGACATGTCCCTGTTGATATACGCTGGACACAGCGCTGGGAATTGTGTCCCGGGGACACTGTCCCTGGGCGTCTCCATCTAAAATCCCTGGTGGCTCTTGCGTGTGTCTCTGGCGTCCCGCCCACCCCAGCCAGGAGGAGCTGGCTCAGACACCACATCCAGCTTGCAGGCACCATGGCGTGGCCATCAGAGCCTTTAGGATCACCAGGAGCAGCAGGTGACCACCCAGGATGCCCACGAAGACTGAGTTGTGAGGCCACCCGGCAGCCCCGGCTGAGTCTCCCATGCCAGGACAGAGCGTGCTGAGGTGGCACCGATCTGAGAGTGAAAGAGCGACCAGGGCTGGACCTGCGTGCCAGCCTGTTCCAGACTCAGCTTTTCCCTTTTATGATCCATCAGTGATTCCTCTCCCTCTGGGTTGTGGTGAGGATGGAAGGAAATCACAGGGAAAGGGACGGTCACAGACACTGGCACCAGGACGCCTGAGAAGTGGGTGCTCTTCTGGGGTCCTTTCTGACCGACAGACATCGCCAGCGAGAAGAAGAATTTGCGGGCAAACTCGGCTATAGGCCAGATATGTCAAGAGGGAGGTGAGCGGGTTATGAAATTTTAAAATCAACCTACCCGCTGGGTTCCTGTTTGGGAGGCTTGAACTTGCAAAAGGAGTGTGGAAGCAGGTGTTTAGTTCTGAAACCCGTAGTGGTTTAGATCTGTGCGCAGCAGGGAAAGCAGTGATGGACTTTGCGTTTGCTCATAGCTCAGCCGGCCCTGGAGAGGCACTTACCGGGGGTTTCGCTTCATGCCTGATGCTTGATGTTGTCAAATGGAGTTCAGCTACAGATTCTTTGCCTCTTCACAGAAAGGGGCTTATTGTGCCGTCTAAGATAAGCCTCCTTCTAGGCGATTGTGGGTTATGCACGCCAGAGGCACCTGCGTCGGAATCCACCAAACTGCTGGAAGGTCCCTAAATTTACCATTCCAGGACGCACATTATCTTTCACATTATTTCAGACTCGTTGACATTCACATCCCATTTCGCCCCAGCCTCTTTAAAAATTAATAGTGTTTTTGTTTTCAACGGTGAGACTCGGGCATTTTCATTTGAGAGCTTGTGGGAAGTACAGTAGGAAGAGCCAGCTACTTCAGAAATAGTCCGAGTTCACCTTTTCTGTCATTCCCTTGCATTGTCTGATTTCTGTCTGTCCTCTCGGAATGGCATTTTCTGAATGCCCCGCACATATCTTTGCCACAAAACCTACCGAAGGCCGTTTACAGGATATCAGAAAGGAAGAATTCCAACACGAAAGAGGATGTTACGGTCGGGAGCGTTTGTGTAGCTGATGGTGAAAGCGACGGTCGTAATGACAGAGCCCAAAGTGGAGACAGGCAGACGCCCCACGCAGACAGAGTCGCGAGAGCAGATGTGAGCATGATTACGCTTTTATTCTCCAAGTGGGTCGGCCCGTCTGCGGTGCTCCCGGTTCCCGGTGAGGATGACAAGCGCTTCCGGGGACTCACCCTGAGATGTATTCTGCGCTGAATTCAAATTTCACTCCAGTGGCAGCCAAGTGAGATCGCACACAGCACAACATTTGACCTCACCGTGCTCAGGACTTCGTTGTATTTTTATGCAGCGTCATAAAGTCACCCAGTAGTGATGGGGGAAAGTCGTGCCAGCCCAAAGCTGTGGGTGTCTTGTAGTGCTCCTGCTGTGTCTTTGCCTGTCCCCTCTTTTCTTCAGGTAACCTGATTCCGGTTAGCATATTCTCCCCTAAAAAGCTTCAGTGGGATACAAACATCTGCATGAAGGGCGTGGCCTTGCAGCCAGTGATAGTCTGGAACCTCAGACATGCACCTTAGGCCTGTGCATGGCACCCGTGAGTCCGGGCGCCCACCTCTGCCCCGGGGGCTGGAGCCATCGCTGTGAAAGCAGTGACCGCAGCACAAGCTTCACAGCAGGGAGCTTGGTAGCAGCAGACGCCGCCGCCGACATATACTATGCCCTTGACGCTTTTTAATTTTAGTTCTTTTTTAAAAAAAGATTTATTTTTATTTATTCATACAAGATCTGGGTGTCGTCCAGAGGTGTGATGGTGAGAGGATGCGCCAGAGACAGAGCGGGGAGCAGAACAGGCAGATTGATGGAGTCCACTGCTGAGGGGGGCCGCGGGCGGGTCAGGAGAGGTCTGCCGCGCCCTGGGGTCAGCTCCCTGCACAGGGATGGAGCGCATGCAGCAGTGGCTGCAAACGCCCTGACTGACCTCTGCACCACCAGGAAGGCCACTAATTTTAGTTCTACCAAAATTACATCACAACATGGCAACATGAAGAACATCAGGAGGAAGCTGCTGGGGTCTCCTTGCCATCTGCCCCCGTGTGAGCCCCGGGCCGCCACCTGCACCATTGACTCACTGCCGGTCTGCGGAGGTGTCCCCGGGTGGGGAGCCGTCTCCCCGCACGCCGTCGCACGGCCAGCAGTGCAGATGCACAGGCAGGTTGGGTGCTGGAGGCAGAAAGCAAGCCCTGAGCTTCCGAGGCGGGGCTGGTCTTCCCAGCGCAGCACGCTGGGCTGGAGTCGCTCCAGCCTACCGTTCGAACCACTGCTTTGTCCAGGGTTTGACTCGACAAAACTGAAAAGGAGCGATGAGCTGCTCTGAAGACGCTGGGGTGGGTTTGCGCTCCGTATTTGACAGTCGCCGAGCAGTAGCGGACTTGACTCAGAGCGAGCTCGGCCTCTCCAGACGAATCGCCCTGGCTCCAAACAAAGGAAGCTGGGCTTTGCATCTGCTTGAAAGCTGTTCTTTAGAATTGACCCACGCCATTCCTCCTCTCCCGGCGGTTATAATTCCCACTTTCATTTTAAAGTTTTACCTTAGAATCGATCTGTTGGAAGCCACCTGTAGCTAAGTGCCTAGGGGAGGTTACTGTGAGAACAGCCATTCTGCTTTGCAGCCACCGCTCCTTTTGCTCCCAAGCGTGTATTTTAGTCTAGTTTAGGCAATTAAAGGGACCTGATGCTGGGCGGAACCCAGGAGAGCAGCGCCCGGCGAGCTCAGAGACATAGTCGCGATGCTCTTTAGGCTGCGTCGAGGTTGATCAGGACTAAGGAGAAGAGCGTGCGGCGAGAAGAGGTGGCTCTCTCCGTGCTGTGACCGTGGTGCCCCCCCGAACCTCTGAACTTCAGGGTCTAGCTACTCTCTCTCCCCTTCCCTTTCCTTCTCGCGTGGGTGCAGGCTCCCAGCAGCATGTTACAAGTGTCTTTGCTTACTGCCCCTTCTCCCCATTCTGTCCCTTCCTCCAGGAGGCCTCTCTACGAGCTAGCCTGGCCTCAGGGAAACCCCTCTCTTTGCTATCTCTTTTCTCTATTAGCTCTAGTAAGGCCCAACAGGGACCGTCCTTCAGCATTGAGTCTCTCCTACCCACCACTCCCCACACCTTTCTGGTGCGCAGAAAGGTGGTTCAGGAGTGTGCGCCTAGCGGACAGGTGGGCTGCAGGTGCTCTTTTGAGACACTTCCAACCTCTGTGCTCCTTTCGCTGTCGTAAAACAAGGGTAGTCCATGCCTGCACTTTCCTGCCTCATCAACCGAGGACAGATACGCTGGTAGCCGGCTCCTTACTTAGTTAGAAACACGGACGCCCTCTCTGTCCCCAGGCCTGCAGTTAGCTGCCTGGCTCCTGTTGAAGGCTAAGCCACCTCTTTATTGGTAGAGGGTGCGTGCTCAGACTTTGGTGCCTCAACCCCGCCCCCACGGGGGTCTCGGAACTGTCTGTTTGCACGGCTGTGCTCTCACGACTCTCATTCATCAGATACTTAGGGAGTCCCCTTTCTGCCATGAGGTATCTTAGGCATCAGGGAAGCAAGGATGGAGAATATTTCTTCAGGCCCAGTGTGAGGCTGGCAGGTGAAGGCCTGAGCTTGTCTTCTGTTTTATAAATAAAGTTTTATTGGAACACAGCCCCATGCTTGCATATTATCTGCATTCGACTGTGCGAGACTTCGCAGAGAGACCCCGTGCGGCTCAGGGGAGCGCAGCCTGACCGGGCTGGTGCTGGTGAGGAGAGGAGCCGCAGCGGTGGGTGAGCTGGAGTTGGCAGTGGCTCAT